GCCTTAGTAGATAAAGACTTTAAAATATATATGTTAATATATATGTTTTATAACATATATTCAAAAAATTAAAAATATACCCATTAATTTTTTTGAAAAGGTCCTAATAAATGAGGAGTGAATAAATAAGGAATCTTAGCAGAGAAATGGAAACCATAAAAAGAACCACATGGAAATTTTAGAATTATGCAAGACCTAAAGTGAGTCATTCACTGAGGGGCTTGAGATGGTGGAAGAAAAACTCATTGAGGTTGGAGACAGATCAGTAGAAATTATCCAAGAGAGAAAAAATTATTAAGGAGAAATGAACAGAGGGTCAAGAACCTGTGAAACAGTATCAAACAGTTTAACACATGTGTGATTGGTGTCCCAGAAAAAGAAAGTGAGAACAGAAAAAAATATCTGAACAAATAGTGGCCAAGAACATCCCAAAGGTTTTGAAAAATGACTTACAAATCCAAGAAGCGCAAGAAGGTTAAAGATAAAGAAAACCCCACACAGGTACATCATAGTCAAGCCACAGAACACTAAACATAAAGACAAAATCTTGGAAGCAGAGAAAAAAGACACAGTACATACAGGTGCACAAAGTTAAGAATTGTTGATTTTTCATCAGAAAAAATAGAGGCTAGAATACAATAAAACAACATCTTTAAAGTGTTGGATGAAAAATTCTGTCCATCCGGAATTCTGTATTGAACAAAAGTATTCTTCAAAATCGAAGGTCGAATAAAGACATTTTCAGATAAACAAAATCTGAGAAAATTAATTATTGGAAGACCTGAACTACAACGGACGTCCTTTAGTCCTTAGGAAAATAATGCCAGCAGAAACTACAGAGAGAAGGAAAAGTACCAGAAATAATAAATAATTGAATAAGCCAGTTGTGGCATTTTCATACAATGGACTAACGCTCAGTAATAAAAAATAGTAACTATTAGTAAGTGCAATAACATGGATTAAAGTGAATCAAAGAAGCCACATACAAAAGATTGTCTTGTTGTATGATTCCTGTTATATGACATTCTAAAATAGGAAAAACTAAAAATATAGTGATATAAATAATATCTGTGGTATCTGGCAGTGGGGGGTTGGCAGTGACTATCAAAGAGTAAGTGGGAACTTTCTAGGAGGATGGAAATTTTCTATAGCTTAATTAGGTATTAAATGAATATATTAGTCAAAAGTCATCAGTCTGTACACTTAAAATGTGTGCATTTTACAGCAGATAAATTATAGATTAATAAGGTAGGTTAAAAAATTTTTAAGTTACCTTCTCTGTGAGATTTTGCCTGAGCACCCTTTTTAAAACTGCTCCCTTTCATTAGTTTTCTCTGTAGTATGTATCACCAACACAGTAGACATATTTTTAAAATTTAAATTAAATTTAATGTTTTTATTGAATAGTTTTAAGTATAGTTTTTTTTATTAACATATAATGTATTATTTGTTTCAGGGGTATAGTTCTGTGATTCATCAGTCTTACACAATTCACAGTGCTCACCATAGCACATACCCTCCCCAGTGTCCATCACCTAGGCACCCCATCTCTACCACCCCCCACCCCTACAGCAACCCTCAGTTTGTTTCCTCCTGAGATTAAGAGTCTCTTACGGTTTGTCTCCCTCTCTGGTTTCGTCTTCTTTCATTTTTCCCTCCCTTCCCCTATGCAGCTTTGGACAGTGTGAAGGAATTTCAGGTTCATGTTACTTGTGTATGGAGTTATCTTGATGTTTATTTATTCCATTCCATTATTCCATTCCTTGATCCAGCATAGCAGTAGATGTGATGGAGAAGCAAGCACCAAAACAGCAGGGATGTGTGTGTGTGTGTGTGTGTGTGTGCATGCTGCATTTGGAGACCTTACAGGAGGTCTTCTCTTCTCCTGCCAACTTTGGCTCTGTACGTGAAGTGAGGATCTTTCTCCTCCCCTACTGTCACAGCCACAGAAGGTGATGGTTTCATTTCCAGGTAAACCTCAGACCACCCAAGATGAATCTGCTCTTAGTCCCCTGTCCCCAGCTGCCAAGTTTCCAAAGAGACTTTCTGATGGCGAGATTATCTTCTTTTCAACCCCACAAACAGGTGTAGGGGATTTCTCTCTGAGTAGAAAGTACACAATGCATCATGCATTGGTTGTAAATACCAGTACAATACTAAGCAAAGCAGCACTACTGAAAACTATTTTTATCTGAGATCAAAAGGCCAAGCCATTGTGATGGATAAGGGCATAACCAATCTCCAAGCTCATCTTGTACCACTTTCCTCAACTCAGGCCCTCCAGCCCCACTGGCCTCTTGCTGTTTCTCAAGCACAACTTCTGCATTTGCTCTCTGCCTGAAGGCCTCTGATCCCAGCTTTCCAGGGTTATGGCTTCTGAGACCTCCATATCTAAAGTGTTTCCTACCCTACATCACCCACTTTCAGCTTCCTGATGGCACTCACCACTCTTGATGTGATCTAGTATATCTATTTATTTATTTGGCTTATTTGTGTATTTATCGTTAGAATATAAGCTCCGTGAGAACAAGGACCTTATCCATCTTTTCCAGCACTAAAGACACTGTCTGGCCCACAAAAAGTATTCAAAAAATGCTCATGGAATAAATAAACATGCTTATTGGTATAATATTTGTATTTTTTGTGTTACATAGAAGGTATTTTTTCTGCACTGGGTACTGATTCAGCAGACTCTCCCAGGCCTAGTATTCTATTCAATGATGGGGATAGTCTTTGAAAGACAAAAGAATGAGGGGATCAGTTAGCTGTTAAGGACCCAGTGAAACAGCAAGACTCTTTATTAAAGAATCAAATGTCTGTGGTTCACTTTTGTTGTGTGGTCATAAGAAGGCTCCAAGGCCCCCCCGCCACATGAGTTCAAATCCCTTCTGTTTACTGGGTAGACTGAATCTTATTATGATGCACACACTAGAATTTGCAGGCAGAGAGGGCTTGCTCTCTTTGACTTATCTCTGTAGATCTGTTTGTGGCCAGTATGACTCTCCTCGGGGGACAAGATTAAGGCTGGGAGCACTGGTGTTGCAGAGGAGATCTGGCCTGTTTGCAAACTGAGCAGCTACTACCTCTGCTTTTCAAGGCTCCTCCACTTGCTTTGATTACTTGCCCATTAGCTGCTGCAGGCAGCAGTTTGTAGGTCCCAGCTTCTGGGTCCTCATGTAGAGAAGGTGTGAAAACCTTTTTTTCTCTGTGGGAGCTCACCCTCAGCCAGCTTCAGAGCCTGGAGCTATTGAGTCAGGGCTGACCCAAAGCTGAACTGTGAAGGGTCAGTCAATCTTTTCTATTGCCCGTCTTCACAACTGCATTTCCATGTCTCAGTCCCTTCCCTTGGCCCTTTGCAGATCTCCATTTAGGTTAAGGGGCCCCCAGGGCATGGCTTAGCCAGCCTGCTTTGCCCAGCCCAGCCCACCTCTCCCTCCACCCCCTAGCTTCAATCCAGGGTGCACCCCCTCTACCAAAGGGTCGGGGCTGGGAGGTGCAACATGAGGAGCGATACTGGGTGGGGGGGTGGTGAAGATGGGGATTCCTGGCCACTTTTTTTAAATCTTTGTGAACAACAGTTCTGGGCCAATCACTTCTTTCTGAGACTCAGTTTATTTCTTTGTAAATCTATGATTAAACCCCCAATTTACCTAGCTCGGAGCATCTCTAGGTTCAAAAGAGATAACAGATGGTGTACACACTTAACTCTTACCTGAACTTCTAAACTGGGAAGATCACACTAGAACTGTTTAGAAGTAAATGGTTCACAGCTCTTCAGGAGCTAGTCTGGGCAACACAGATTGATCTACAAAATAATAAACTCAGTTGATAGCTCTTAATGGCCAAAAGTGGCTTTAAGGGTTATACCATTTAGGTAATGTGTTTTCATTTACAACCAATCTCTTCAAGTAAATGCAATCTTAAGGAGAAATCATTTAAGGTGAAGATTTCAGGTGTCAGGCTGACCTCTAGAGGCAATACCTTGAGGGAGAAGGGGCAGTTAAACACTCAAGTCCTAGTTTTGATCATTATCCTCTTAGCCCATACACAAAGCTAAGCATGCAAAATCTCCTGCAATTTGGACAGACCAAAGATGGTCTCAGAGGTTACCATCACCTTTACACAACTAGTTATTTCACAACTCTTGCCTCATCAAAATGATGTTTTTCTCTTGGCTTGTTTTCTCTTTCAAGTAGCCTGACTACAAATTGCGAAGACCAGGCGGACCTGGGCAACCCCAAACAGAAGTCGTGTCATCTGGCTTTGGCAACTTCCTCTCCTCTGTGACTGTGAGAACAGAAATAGAGACTCACAGGACTCTCAGAGTAGATGGGAACTTAGAGGTCAGCGGGCCTGGCCTTCCTCAATGCTGCCAGTCAGTTGATATGCCTATAGAACACCTACTCTGTGCCAGATGCTGGAATGGGTGCTGGAGGGGGTAGGACCAAGGTGCTGAACAGGACACTGTGGCTAACCCCGTGGAGGAAGGCAGGGAGGCAGACAAGAGGTTGGGATGCCCAGATAAATACAGTGAGGTTGAACACTCAGACTCATGCACGGAATGTCACCCAGGGTGGGGGAATCAGAAAAGGCTTTTCAGAAGAGGTGGAGTTTTTTGTTTTGTTTTGTTTTTTAAGTAGGCTCCATGCCCAGGGCAGAGCCCAATGCAGGGCTTAAAGCCAGGACCCCAAGATCAAAACCTGAGCTGAGATCAAGAGTCAGTTGCTCAACTGACTGAGTCACCCAGGCACCCCAGGAAAAGTGGAGTCCTGAAGGAAGAAAAGGAGTGAGCCAGAAGAAGATCAAAGCGGGGGGGTGGTGGTGGGAAGAGGTTCTAGGCAGTTTATAGCATATGCAGGGCAGAGAGACCAGAAAGGAAAAGAGGTGGGAAGAAGAAAAGGAGAGAAGGAAAGGGCAAGATGAAGGAGTGGGAGGAGACCAGGTAGGATCAGGGGGCTATGACTGAGCTCACTGCCCATTTAGGGAGCTGCCAGGAGCCCCCTGCTGCAGTGTGAAGGTCCAGTGGGGAGCAGCAGCAAGTGAGGCTGGAGCAATAAGCAGGGGCCAGATCAGAAGGAGACTTCTGGTCCGTGTGACAGAGGCAGGAAGGTAAGACTTTATCCCAAAGGTGACAAGGTGACTCTGAAGGTCTTAAATAGCACAGTGAATTCTAAGATTTCTAAAGTGGTTCCCCTCCGCCTGCAGACAGTTCATTCCACTCACTCGGAAGTAGGTCAGCTTGTTGACAAAACGTGTGTTCAAGTGGAGTCCAAAGATGCCATCCACAAGAACATGGGCCAGGTGCTGCCCTCCCTGGTCGGCTTGCTCTTCCACTTGCAGTGGTCTCAATACTGGAAGACTTTTTCTTATCCCACCCATGTCCCACATTTCCTCCTCTTCAGGGTTCACAAACCTAATCCCTTCTACCTCTGTTCATAGACATAGAAGAGCTCTCCTTGGAAGCAGGGGGCTTAGAAATCCCAACTTTTCCACCCTTGCCTCTCTAGGAAAGTGAGTTGTCTACACAAACAGCCATCTGGGCACAGATGAAGCAGATGAGTCCTCTCCTAGTGGCAGTGGAGATGTTTGTACAGACACTGAGCCCAGCTTGCTTTGTCTTACAATACTCAATCTCTGGCATTGCTTCTTTGATTAGCTAGCTCTCCCACTGCCACTCAGTTGGCTGACCACTTTCTCTTCACTCTTGCCTATTCTCCCAGGAAAAGTACTCTCTTTATGGTGCTTTGTTTGGTTAAGCTTCCCATATAACTATTCAGTTTCTTCTTACAGCTTCTTTCTCTGAAGCTAGGTACATCTTGATTGGGATGCCTTAATGCTCCCCTGGCAGCATGGCATAATGGTAAGAACAGTCTTCAGAGTCAGAAAGACCTGAGTTTGAAATTTGGCTCAGCTGATCCATAACTGTGCGACTTTCCAGGAAAGTGACCCAGCCTGTGTTCTTCATCTGTATAACTCTGAGCAATGAATATCTGCGTTCATTTAGGTACTGACTTACTTGAAGCCTCAGTTTTCCCATCTCTTAGATGAGGATAACAGCAATTATTTGGTAGAGCTGGTTGAGGATCCAATGTGATAAAAATGTGCAAAGCACATGGTAGGCCCTCGAACACGGGTATGTGCTCTTTGCCCTCCAGGGGACCCTTTTCCTTTTAGCCAGCCCCTCCATCATTGGACACCCTTCCCTCCACCTTGGGTGTTCCTGTTAGGGGTCACAGGCTCTTCTGGGCAAACAGCCTCTGAGAAGATGAGGCTTTCCTTTCTGTTTGCCTAAAATCAGAGTCATTTTTCTGTCTCTTGTTTTTCTTGTGTTGTCTGTTTCTGGCCTGTTATGGATTGAATTGTGTGTTCCTCACCCTTTTTCGGGGTGGGGAGGGGGAGGATAAAAAAGTATGTTGTGTTCCAATACCCAGCACCTGTGAATGTGACCTTATTTGGAAATAGGGTCTTTACAGATTAAGCAAGTTAAGATGAGGTGATTAGGGTGAGTTCTTATCAAACTTGACTGTTGTTCTGATAAGAGAAGAAGAGAGCACCATTTGGAGACAAAGACATAGAAGACAGCCCGTGAAGACAGACAGAGATTGGAGATTGGCCATCACAAGCCAAGGAAACTGGGACTACAGAAACTGGAAGAGGGAAGGAAGGGTCCTCCCCTAGAGGTTTGAATGAAGCATGGCCGACACCTTGATTTCAGACCTCTGGCCTCCCGAATTGAGACAGAATGCATATTTGCCATTTTCAGCCAACCGATTTGTGGTCCTTTGTTACAGCAGTCACAGGAAACTGACACCCTGGCCCCACTGTTAGTTAGAGTCCACTTGACTGAGAGGTTTATTAACTTGTGAAATGAACATTTCTTAAAGCCCACCTTTAGAATTGACAAGTTGTTTACCCCAAGGGGGGGATATATTATGCACTTATGTGTAGAATAAAATGGATAGAGAGGGGCAGGGTTAGTCTGATCAAGAAGGGAAAAGAAGCACTTAGAAGACTTCAAAGCACCACCCTGCTAATGAATAAGACAAAGCAACTTGGAAAAGTAGGGACGGTCTGAAGTGAGGGTCAAGGTGGGAAGAGTCACAAGTCCACAGTTCACAGGTTTCAGGGGGGCTGGCATTTTTGTGCTGATTTAATCTACAATTTCAGCTTATCAAGGGATAAGGCTGACAGACTAAAAATTAGCCACAGGGTACAACTTTACTCCTGGCTTAACAGAGGACTAAAGACATAAAGTAAGCCGCCGTGTCAGAACTTGCAGGGCAGTGTGAAACACTGAGGTTTGAACAAAGCCGAGTTGGCCTGAGTATGAATTACAGGAAGAAAGGAAGGAAGAAAAAGAAAGAGCTCTGGGCTATTTATTCCTTTTCTATGGAACACATTGAAGAAAAGATTTGTCACAGACCCAGCTGGAGGACGTGGGGCCAGACAGGGCACAAGGGGCATGAGTCACAGCTCCCAACTTTCAGAAGCTCCGTATGCGGGAGCCCAGCAAAAGGCTCACCACTATTCTGATGGAGTCCCTTTGGTTTGGGGGCTACACAAGATTCAGCCAAATGTTGTGCAGGTCTTAGAACTTAGAACCAGTTATGATGGCCTTGGACTGACGCAGCATGTTGTTTTAGGTAAAACAGTACTTAGCTATCAGCTGGGTGGAGATGGAGGAAACTGGTTGACACTCTGTTGATGGCGTGGTCAGATCTGATGGGGATGGGGTGGCTCTTGACTCAGTTTAAGACTATAGTGGACTTTCAGTTGCCTAGCATGTGTTCCTGCCATGTTCTGATGTTCCTTTGGAGACTCAACCTTTCTTTCTTCCCAGTTCCTGCTGCTAGGAGCAGGTGCATGGCCATGCTACAGACAATCAGCATATTCCATTGTCCTGGCCCCACAGTAATGGGTTTAGGAATGGGCACATGTCAGCCCCAAGGGTCAATCCTAGGGATTTTTACAAAAACTATTGAGGACAAGATGCAGTTACTTGGATTGCTGAGAGAAGAGGATGTGCATCGGAAGCCGCTGGGGGCCATCTTGGTACCACATTGGAAGAGCCAGTCTGAGTAAGCCCAGGGATGGAGAGAGAGAGAGTCCTGATGAGACTGAGCCCTTACATCTAGTGGTGCCTAAAGCTCTTTTTTGTTACATGAACCAATACATTCTAGCTTTTTATTTTTTTAGGCCATGAGAAGTTAGGTTTCTTGGAAACCTAAAGAGTTCTGACTAATACACAGACCTCAGCAGGGCAAGATAGGACCACAGAAAATGCCACCAAAATATATAGAAGACAGAATATACGAGATATAATGTGTGGCACGTTGCACTGGATGGCTTGTAAGGTAAAGATATGATCTTAGGAATAGCTTTGAGAGCATTTTAGAGTACTTAAGAGTATTTCCAAACATAAAATGATAGTATTACTCTTTTAAATACTTCTGGGATTAGGGAATAAACAAAGTAAAAAAAAAAAACAGTAATCTGAATTTTTCTTGTAGTAATATGGCATCATCATCACCATCATAAAAAGACGATTCCAAAGGCAAGAGGTGTGGGTTTCATCTGGGCTCTGATCTAGGGCTACCAACTTGTCCTGGTTTGTCCAGTGGGACTGCCCCTGTTTTATAATGGAGAGTCCCCTGTTCCCAGAACCACCTCAGTCCCTGGCAAACCTGGGTGGTCTGTCATGTTGTATCTTTGGGAAGCTCCAGGTTTTCATAAAGGGCTGCAGTGCTCACTGCAAAAGGGGAAGGGGTATCAAGCGACCGACCTCTTCTGCTTCAGTCAGAGCAATTTCTCTTCTATATTTTTATTTTTTTTAATTTTTTTAAAGATTTTATTTATTTATTTGACAGAGAGAGAGAGACAGCAAGAGAGGGAACACAAGCAGGGGGAGTGGAGGAGGGAGAAGCAGGCTTCCTGCAGAGCAGGGAGCCGGATGCGGGGCTCGATCCCAGGACCCTGGGATCATGACATGAGCCGAAGGCAGACGCTCAATGACAGAGCCACCCAGGCACCCCTCTTCTATATTTTTAAAAAATCAGAGTCTGCCCAAGATTTTTGGGGGGCATAGGGAAACATGCTCTTTGAGGGACCTCCCTTTAGAATTCCATGATTTAATTTTCTTTGTTATGAGGCAAATGGCTCTTACAGACCAGTGTTTCCTGCACCTGGCTGATCATAGCAGTCACCCGGGGAACTTTAAAACGGCATACATTCCTGGCTACCACACCTGGAGATTCCAACTCAGCCAGAATCAAGTGGAGTCAGAGATCTATATTTTTAAAAATCTTTGCAGGTGACATACATATAAATTATTCACAAATGCTGGTATGTTAACTATCATTAATAATAAATCACTTTCCACACACCTCACAAATGGCTAAGACACACCATTGTTTGAGGTACTGTTTCCATTACACCTTAAACTTTCCATGCATCAGGAGGGCTTGTTCAAACAGCTAGATGGACCCCACCTGCAGGGTTTCTGTTTCAAGGAGGGCTGGGGCAGGACAGGGAATTTGCATTTCTGAGATGCTCACTCGTTGGTAGGCATCATCATTGTAGACCATAATAAGCTTAGTTGAGTGTCTTGTCTGGTCTCTTTCATCTTTGTAATTATTGTAAAATGCCCCTCTCACCTCCCCCTAGCATAGTCCTAAGTAAATTATTGATGAGACAATGTGTGGATAAATGTTTTATTGGCCTCAATGACGGTGACCTTTCCACCAACTTTCTAAAGAATATTGTGACCTATATCCCTTAGCATGTGAAAAAGGTTTCTGTTAGTTATCTAAGGAATACTGTCTCCTGGGACCTCTGCTGAGGACAGGGTGGGAACAACAGGATTTCCTGCTCTGGGCTTTAGGGGCTTTGTGCTGAATACAATGAAGTAACTGCCACGTTCTGTCCTGGGGCCTCCGGACAAGCACACTGGACCCTCCCCAAGACTCCATTTTGCTTGTTTGTCGCTTTCTAAAGCTGGCAGATTTGCTTTTCACCCACCAATTCCTTTCTGTATTTCTTTTGCTTGTCATTATATTTAAATTGTTGAACTGATTTGCAGGGACATTACCTAAACATATTGTGGTTGCTGTAACTCTTTATTTCTGTGGATAAACTTGTCATTATCCTTCTGGAAGCCCAAGAAGGATTACTCCAATCCCTGCTTAGGCTGTGCAGGGGCCTTTCATCAGGCCTGCAGCCTTTGGCTTGTATCTGTTCTCTGTTGGTGCTGGAACAGCTGTGGGCACCTTGGCACTGTCTTCCCACCCATCTTCACTAGTGCAAGAAATGTTTCTTGTACTACACATGGCCACAATCTTGCCCTCAACCCAGACACACCCCAAAAAAATTAAAAAAAAAAAAAAAAAGAAAGCCACTGACCATTATTAGCTGCTAAATACAGGAGTACATTGTCCAAGTTCTGCAGGAACATTCAGATGGTGTTTAAGTGGCTTTGAAACTTGTATGTAACTACTTGAAATAAGAAACAGCACCCAAAAAACACAAATAATAATAATAATAGAATTTAAAGATTCCCTCTCTTTATTAGAGACCATGATAATATTTCAAACAGATGGTTGTTTAGTTGGTATACAGTCTAGTTACCCCAGAAAACAAGATATGTGCCCCAAATGCAGGAAACAGAGGACCATTCCAGCTCCGCCCTGGAAAGAGGATTTGTTTTTGGTCAGAGCATATAATTATGGAGAAATAATCCATTCTAGATGAGTTCTATAACAACAGCCTTGCTAAATGTCTAAGTCTGTGGCAGTGAACAAAAACAGGGTTCTCTGCCCATTACGCAGGCAGCCGGTGTGGTCTCAGCTCCAGAAGTGACTAGTCAGCAACTAAAAGAAGCAGTCTGCTATTCCACAACATCAACAGCATGATGGAGACACTACCTTTCCCCCCAAAGCCATGGTGGCAGAAATGCTTGCCAGCGTAGAACTGTCCTCTAGTACAAACTCATCTGAGAGGCTTGGCTATGTGTACCCTGGAAGGTTCTGAAAACCTTTGGTGTTGTAATGACACTTGTGTTTCAGGAGACACCTCTGAATCTGGCTGACAGGAAAATATCATGTTAGGTAATAATAAAATTGAGGACTGAAAAAGTTTTGACTCTCCTTTTTAGAGACTCAAGTCAGTCTTGAGGGAAACTGGGTATTTTCCTTGTAGGCTTTCAGAAACACGGTGGGTGGTGATGGACAGGGGGGTGGGAGGAGGGAGGAAACATGACCAGCATGTCACTCTTAATAATTGCTTCTTGTCTTCAAATCGGGATGTTGATGTTTTTCCACTTTACAAAATGTGTGTGTGCGTGCGTGTGTGTGTGTGTGTGTGTGTGAGAGAGAGAGAGAGAGAGAGAGAGAGAGAGAGAGATGGTCAGGGAAGGGTGTTGCAAGGAGAAATGGAAAACAACTCCCACTATTCACAGAGACTGAGGAGATTCAAACACTAAAGAAGTCAAGTTCACACCATTGCAGGCCACAGAGTGAGGATGCAAAAGTATCATGGCTTAATTATGCATATTACCACTGCCTGCCAGGGAAACGAGGCAGTCCACAAAGTCCATCTTTTTTAAGGTGGATCAGCATCAAGTATTTTGTAAGAGACACATGAGTTTGTAAAAGTTAAAGCGACTTGAATGGGCTTCTGTATATAACAGAGAGAAGACAAAGCTCCTACCATGTGGAAAGACAAGTCCTCAGCAATCTAAGTCAGATGAGTTATAGGAGAGAGCCAGCAAGGGTTTCCTTGGGATGGGAGTGGAGAGGCACAGCAAGAAGGATATGTACATGTATCTCTATGTAGGGAGATGGTTAAGGAAGCAGACTGAGGTTTCCGGTAAGGCCTTCCTTCCTGTTTACCCTTGGAATCCAGAAGCAAATGGGCCTTTGCTCAGGAGTCTAAGAAGTCATTGGCCATGTTCGGATTTCTCTGAGGAAGGGGGGGGGGGATGTTTCTGCCTTATGGTCTAGCATCATGAGGACATACCCAACGGACTTTACAAAACAAGTGCCTGACTATCTGCATTTCACAACAGTCCATATTGGTGAGTTAATTTTTGGTAAATTCATGTTAAAGAGATAACTACATATAAGCCAGTTCAAAGCTATCTTTGAGATGAGTTCCCCTCATATAAACTTGACTTTTACCTCATGTCCTTCTGGACATATTCCTCCATACTGATGATGCTTGGTTGTCATTACAGAAGTTTCTCAAGACCTGCTTCAGCCATCATTAGACAGAGTTGAAAAATTTTTTCTTTCATAATATTCCGTATGAATTACCACATGTTGTTGACCCCAGGCTTCAGAGAGATCTATCACATAAAGTTGGCATCCAATCCATTAAACACCATTTTTGTCATGAAGATCTTCTCTAGTTGAGAGAGCTTACCATGTTGGTGCACCATTTTGTTTCCAGATACCTATTCCCTTGAAACTTGTCTCATGCCACTAAGGGACAAACCACTGAACCAGTGTGGAAAAAACAGGCCTTATCAAATAATTTTCTGAAATTTCTGCCTGCATCATGACAAAGAAAGGATGCTCTTCTGTCAGCAGAAGTTGGTGTGGAATTCATAACGAAACTGTCCTTCATATGCTAGAATTCTGCAGGCTTCAATTGCCAATGTGTCACAGGGCAGGGTGAAGATCGTCCTTTCTAGCTCCAAATTCTGTAGTTCCAGGGAACTGCTGTTGGAAGAAGCCTCAGTCTCTAGTGCCACCCAATAGGCAAGTATGGATAAATTAAAAAGATATCAAGCAAAAGAAACACTTCACTCATGGTGAAGAGGGAGTGACATGGGAGAAAGGGTTGAACTACAAAGTACAACAGAGATCAGCAAAATAACCACCAAAGGAGAACATGATCAAGAGGCTGCTAATAATTTAAAGAGTTCAGGGAAGAGGAGAAAATGAAATAATCCTCACCAGTAAGAATGGTGTGGTCACTGCTTAGCCAGGGAAGGGTACCACCCCTTGCCTGCATCGACCTTTCGTGTAATGGACAGATCTTCACAAGAGGAGAGAACTATGGCAGGAACAGAAAGGGTACACAGCAGTTTCCCACTCAAAGTCCAGAGACAGGCCAAACCCTACCTATGTGTAAGCTTTTTTGTGTGTATGCACATGAGGCACTTTTTCTTACTGCCATTTACTTTTGGGGTACTCAAATCTTATTCCATGAAAGAGTGGAGGCTGCTCTCCAGAATTAAGCTGCTCGATCTGGAAATAAGAAAACTGCTTTTAGCAAGCTTGGTTTGGGGTTTTGCTACAGGGAACTTTTGTGCTAAGACAGCAGTACCATTAGGGTAGGAATCAGAGGAAAGGGGACCATGGTTAAAGTCTGACCAAACCCTAGATGGCACCCTCTTTTTATCCTATTCACAGTAGATGGTTGAGAAATGCTTGTTGCTGATAAGAGAACAAAAGACGCATCAGTTTTTGTGAGGAAACTTAGAGGAACATTGTGTGTCAACTATACTTCAATTAAAAAAAAAATTCCAAATCTAAAAAAAAAAAAGAAAAGAAAACCCATCATGTAGATTTAAATCATTTCAAACAATTAATGATGTAATAATGAGGTGCTTTGTTTCATATGTGATAATTAAATGTTATAATCAAAGATTCATAATGTCAATTATATGAAGAGCTTTCACTAAAGAATCTTTTGTTGCTGTTAAAAAAAGAAACTTAAAAGTAGACAAGAATTTTATATATATAAATATATATAATTTCTATTGATAATTACATATGATCTAATTATATATGCATTTATATGTATGTATATATGTGTGTGTTTATATGCATATAAATATACATATATACACATATATGTATGTATATATATAATCTGTATTATATAATCTGTATTGTCTATATTATATATCTGTATCTGTATTTTACATATATATATATATATATATATACATATATGTATATAAAATCTAAATGTGACCCTAAGAAGCAATATTTAACATTAGTAAGAGAAGCTATGCATTTGGAGGAGGGGTAAAGCACCAGGGCCTGGAACATTCAAGAGGAGATGTCAAGAAGGAAAGAGTATGTGAGCTAAGCCTGGCACATGAGTAAGAAGGAGAAATTAGTCTGGGCAATGGTGAAGGCACAGATATTCGAGGAATAGTTGGGAGACTGTAAAGGAAGAAAAATGAAGTGTTCATGCATGGTGTTATGTTGGCAGTCTTCCATCTCATCTCTCGTTCTATTCTGTGTGTTCTGCCTCTCACTTCTCTTCTGCATGTCTTAAGTCTTACAGTAGCACCCCTGGGCCCAGCTACTAGCAACCAGAGCCACAATGAATGCTTTGACCTCCATATTCTAGGAGCTTCTCTTCTTATTTTTTCCAGATCCTGTGATTTATTCTTTTTTTTAAAAAAAGATTTTATTTATTTATTAGAGAGAGAGTGTGAGAAACAGCATGAAAGGAGATGGTCAGAGGGAGAGGCAGACTCCCCGCTGAGCCGGGAGCCCGATGTAAGACTCGATCCCAGGACTCCAGGATCATGACCTGAGCCGAAGGCAGTTGCTTAACCAACTGAACCACCCAGGCCCCCCTCCTGTGATTTATTCTTTAAATTATATCGAACAGCCCCAGTCCCATTATTCTTTCACTTTAGTTTCTTTTTCTTTCTTGCCTTTCTCACTGGAGGGAGAGATTGTGTAGGTGTCAAAATTTGGTACTGGGTTGACTCTCATCATCCAGGAAATACACACCTACACACTTGGGATATGTCATAAACCACCAAGTCAAAGGTGAATCTCTTTTATTAAATGGCAATACGTCAGGAATTGAATGTGAAAGGAACAGACCTTTATTGATCAAGAGTCTGCTAATAATTTAAAGAGTTCAGGGAAGAGGAGAAAATGAAATAATCCATTAAATTCTATGCAAAGCTTTATAGGGGACAGAAATGACTAAGAAGTTTAAAAAGTTTCATTTATTGGACAAGACAGATGGCTAACAACTAACTATGCTACTGTTGAAATAAACTATTGAGCCAAGACTCTGTTTCAACATACTCCATGACGATACGGCAATCTCCATTGATAGTGCATTTTTTAAAATTTATTTAAAGATTTTATTTATTTATTTGACAGAGAGAGCGAGAGCAGGAACACAAGCAGGGGGAGCGGGAGAGGGAGAAGCACACTCCCCGCCCAAGCAGGGAGCCCGATGTGGCGCTCGATCCCAGGACTCTGGGATCGTGACCTGAGCCAAAGGCAGACACTTAATGGCTGAGTCACCCAGGCGCCCCGATAGTGCATTTTTTTAACTTAAAATTTTTTCCTTATGAAATTTCTCTCATAGGGTCTAACTACTGAGGCAAAATTCAAAGGATTCTGTTAGCCCTGCCCAATTTCCAAATCCTTTTTTTTTTTTTTTTTTGACTAAATGATCCCTCTCAATTGAAGGACTCCCTCTCAATGCAGAGACTTCTCTGGTTCAGCGGAATTAATGTGTGCCACAGTTGTCTACATGGCATTCACAGCCAGCTGTGGGATAATCATCCCACTGACAGAACCAAAGACACAAAAACCTGGTGAAAGATGCAGTAGAGGGAATCCTGTCATGTAAAGTCATGATTAACAGGTTAGCACTGGAAGGGGATGAGCAGGAGAAATTTCTTTGCCAGAAGTTGTGTAAGCCTAAAAATGATTTACAATTGGATGACTTCAATTATCATGTGAAGATTCACCTTCTAGATCTCATAAAAGAAAATTCTTAGAGTGTTATGGATACACATCCCCCCCCCCAAAAAAATGAGGGACATCAACAAAGCATGCCTAATTGAGTAGGAGGGAAAGACTGTGGTAAATCCAAACTATGCTCATTTGGGACATTAAAGTACTAGATTCTAGGAGTATATTTAGCCAAGGAAGATTCTGCATCGTAGTGTGACATTGTATGTAGTTTGACAAAGTTGTGTCTTCAAAACAGTCACTCCCACTTCTGTGAGCCTGAGAAGGGAGGAACCCATCACCTCCATTCTCAGCTGGGGTTTGAAGGATACTATTTTGCTTATGCTAGAATGAAGTGAATAAATGCATGGATGTTTTTTAGTCAGGTAGATCTGAATTCAGATTCCGGGTAGGACAATCTTGGATTTGTAGTCATTATAAAGCTTAGAAATTTTTCCCATTTAATAGTAATGGCTAAACAAATTTTTAGGGCTTCTCAAGTATAAGACATTGTTGGAAGGGATGGATATATATTACTTCATCTAAATTCACAATAATCCAATGAATTGGTGTGTAGAAATGAGTTAATACAGGAGGGCTGAGGCCTTAGAAGGCACTGCTTGCAAGGTTGGCCCTTGGCTGGCATTTGGGAACTTGGATTTCAGGAGGGTTTCCACCATTCCTGATAAGAGATACTCACTCTATCTAACTGTTTGTACAAACAATGTAGTTTCTGCTAACACCCTCTCCCTTTCTGGGAATTTTGAAGTTTTGGTATGTGGCAGACAAGTGGTACCTAAGTGACCAGCCCTTGCTCAAAATTCTAGCCCTGAGTCTCTGATGAGCTTCTCCGGTAGACTCCATTTCACCCTTGCCATAACTCCTTAGAGGAATTAAGCATATCCTGTGTGACTCCCCTGGAAGAGGATTCTTGGTAGCTTGTGTCTGGTTTCCTCTGGACTTTGCCCCATGTGCTCTTCCCTTTGCTGATTTCTATTTGAGTCTGTTGGGCATAATAGATCATAGCTGTGGGTATGACTATATGCTGAGTCCTCTGAGTCCCCCTGGTGAGTCATCAAACCGGGGGTGGGCTTGGGGACCCATGGCACGGGTATGTGGCATTATTATTATCATCTCTGTTTTAAAGGTGAGGATGTGGCTTCACGGAGAGGTTACTCCACGAGAGGTAACTATCTTAAAGTCACACAGCAGGTGTGCAGCACCACCAGGACTTGAACCCAGGAAGGCTAGCTCCAGAGCCCTTGTTTCCCCCTGTGGAGGCTCTAAACGTATAACACCTCCCTCATTGTGTGATCATGAGGCAAAGGAGGTGTGCTTGCTCAGAACATACTAAGTGCTCAGTGAAACTCTATTATATTATTATGCACCAGTCCTCTATCCCTCCCGCCTTCTAACCAGGAAATCTACCTACATTCCCTACAGGCCAATGATAGATAAGTAGAATGTCTCTAAGAAGTTGAAACATGCATGAGGAGGGAAATGGAAGGGAACAGCATGCAACTCAGTGACTTATTTTTTTAACAACAATAATATCTATCATAAGATCTTTTCTTTTAGCCAAATGGAGCTTCTATGATTCCACTCCTCTTTCCTTGCCTCTTCTGTCTCCTTGGGCCCGGCTTGGAGGGGTCGGACAGGGTGGTGATGGTGATGAAATCAGCAGAGCTGGCTGGGTGTTTAGGAGAACTGAGGCAGAACCAGGAGAGGGGCCAGGCAGTTTTGGTTGAGCCTCTTTCATTATGGTAACCCTATTTTCTACCACCCATCCCCTAGAGGGGAACACATTGTCTTGCAACAGAATACTGTATTTTTTTTGTAGAAACCATATTTTTAAAAATTCAGTTTAATTAACATGTAGTGTATTATTAGTTTCAGAGGTAGACTTTAGTGATTCTTCAGTTGCATATAACACCCAGTGCTCATTCCATCAAGTGCTCTCCTTAATGTCCATCACCCAGTTACCCCATACACCCACCGACCTCCCCTCCAGCAGCCCACTGTTTGTTTACTATAGTTAAGAGTCTCTAATGGTTGGTCTCCCTCTCTGATTTCATCTTATTTTATTTTTCCTTCCCTTCCCCTATGTTCATCTATTTTGTTTCTTAAATTCCACGTATGAGTGAAATCATCTGATATTTGTCTTTCTTTGACTGACTTATTTCGCTTAGCATAATACCCTCTAGTTCCATTCATGTCTTTGCAAATGGCAAGGTGTCATTCTTTTTGATGGCTGAGTAATATTCCATTGCACACACACGTGCGTGTGCGCGTGCGCGCACACACGCACACACACACACACACTCCATATCTTCTTTATCCATTTATCCATCGATGGACATCTGGGCTCTTTCCATATTTTGGCTATTGTGGACATTGCTGCTATAAACATTGGGGTGCATATGCCCCTTTGAATCACTGTGCTTGTATCCTTTGGATAAATACCTAGTAGTGCAATTCCTGGGTTGTAGGGTAACTCTATTTTTAACTTTTTGAGGAAACTCCATACTGTTTTCCAGAGTGGCTACACAAGTTTTGCAACAGAATACTTAACATTCTGCTTGCTAAAATTATTTCCCAATCACCCTCACTCATTTCCTACCTTTCAAGCAGAAACATCCAGTTTCTTTCCACTGAGGAAACTAAATAACCCTAGCATTTCACAGACTTATTCTTACACTGCTTTCAAAGAAAAACAGCTCTTCCTGCCAAATGCCTGTTTGCTATATGTCAGAGCAAATGTATGGCAAGTTGCTGTGTTGCCTTAATTACTAGAACAAGATGTCCTACTCAGAGCTGAGTTGGCTAAAGCACAGTACATCTACATGGCAGAATCTGGACGGTAAAGGAAGATGTCCTTGATGTAAAACATCATCTCCTCCATCTCCTCCCCAAAATGCCTTTTACTAGAGAAACAAACTTATTTCATAGTAAGAAATATGACTTAAAATGCAAATGGCGGGTGAGTAGTGGCTTGGTGATGCCAAAATCTAAATCAATGAGATCAAATCCTTCCCTATGAGCACACTTTGATGAAGTCAAATTGGAAGGAGTCCACGCCTTCCACGGATATCAAAGAGTTGGAAAGAGGACTTGGTCAGAACGAGAGCCAAAAGAAGGAGATGAGACTTAGGAAAAGAAGCTGAAGGGCCACTTCATCTGTATAGTAGATTTTCTCATGGGAAATCTTGGCCTTTGGTGGGCAGTATGATAAAAGCAATATAGGAGAGGTGGAAATTTGAACAAAAATATCCTATCTGGCAATAAAACCCATTTTTATCTAAGTTAAATCAATGTCCTTACACCAAAGGTGTGTTCACTGTTGGGATCCACTGCAAAGAGTTGCCTCATCATTGGATAAACTCCTTTAAGCCAATGACTCAGGTTCAGTCCTAGCTAGGCCTTTTGCTCAGTTCCCCAATTTTACATAAGTTATCTCATCTCAATTGCCCAATTTTACATAAGTTACCTTTGGACCTCGATCTCCTCAGTTTCATTATCTGTAGAGTGGGGGATATAATAATGCTCCCAGGACCCCTATGGGCACTGAATAAGATGATGTGGGTCAACGTGCTGACTGAATTGCAAATCAATACCTAAAGTTTGGTCTCCAGGTTTCACTGTATTGAACATTCAGAAAGGAGGGTTACCTCAAGAGGAGGGCCTTATAAAGCTAAATTGCAAATGGAATGGGCATGGCAGCAAATTCACTTCTGTGACCAGTCAAATATTAACTTTCCTTATTGCAGCAGCTGAATCCTTCCTCTCCGGTTGGTCTAAATGTGGTCCAAAAAGGTGATGGGCATCAATTAAGACTTAGGTCAGAGTCTCTGAAGTAGCCAGTGATTTAGTTTCTGGGATGAAGGAAAACAAAAATCTTACCAATGGCTGGATAAAAATAACATTCCTTTCTATTGTGATCATCCAACATCAAGGAAATGTTTGAAATTTAGGCAGCATAGTATGATATGCCTGCTACAGTTATTACATGGTGAAACTTCTGAAAAACACAGCAGCACAAATGTGTTTTATCAATCTTTGCTGTTGGTAAGAATCATGGGGAAAGCAAATTTGAGTCACTTCCCAATGCAGTTTACTCTAAAATGGATCATTATTCTAAGGGACTTGTCATGCCTGTTAGGTTCAGATTCATCTGCTTGGAGTACCCCACCCCCACCCGCCCCCGCTCTGCCCCCCATCATTCAAATGCTCTGTGCTTTCTTCACAAATGCTGCACACAGACTGTCATTAGGTGCAGAGTAAGCTGCAATTAGCAAGTCTGTCAGCTTCTCTTACAAGGAACTTATTTTTCAGTGGAAATTTTTGTAATGGTTCCTGTCTGATCTTTAACTCTTCCCTGGAGACCAAACTCCCTAGCTCAATTCTTGGCAACTCGATTCTAAGAGTGAATGATACCCCTTTGGACCAATTAATTACTGTAATTTCTTAAAAATGTAGCTACTAGCTGTTTTGGCACCTTCCACACTGCACCCCTTGCAAATAAATCCTGCAGGGCTCTGAAATGTTTGGCCTCCCTGTTTGAACCCTCAGAGACTTGCAAGACTGAGTCTCAGTTCTCACAAGGCCTCTTCAGTGTGGTCAGGGGTAGTAGGCAAAAGCCTCAGTGTTTCAGGGACTCACTTGCATTTCATTTACTAGGTGAGGGTGATAAGGTGTTTGCCAACGTTGCCCAGCTCAGTCACCAAGGGGCTGTGTAGAATTTATAGTGTATCCCCCAGAAACTGCTTCTCCCCTTTCCTCTAGGCCCATGGGGCCCCTTGCAAGTTGAGAAGCAGAGCTAGGGTTGGAACCTAAGGAATCTAAACAGAGGGAGAAAGATTTTAAACTTAAAAGGCAAAAATAATGAAGATCTCTTTAACTTACAGATAAAAGGCACATAATTTAATTTATCAACTAGAGATATTCCTGTGATTCCTCATGAGCACAGAAAATCGAGTTGTCTATGTGAAAATCGAGTTGTCTATGTCTCTCAAGAGGCCATACAGTGCTTTTCTTTTCTATTTGTTTGAGTCACACTGAGCTAACTATTATAACTACTACATGACTACAAATCAACATACAATGAAAGAAATCATCCCAATAGTTTTGTGACTTCAAGCCTGCTTGAAAAAAGCCCCAGGCTGGCAGGGCCCTATTGGTGCTCTTCCCCCGTGTTGCCCAGCATACGGCAGGGACTCCAGAAATACTTTTGACTGGTGACTGATAGGCGTGTTGGTCTACGTGATGACAAAGGATATCCTCCTTGTATTTCATCTTCATGAGCTCATGTTTATCACCGAGGTAATGAAATATCATTTTAACCCTCTTTTACAGAGGCGGATATGAATTTAATTGGATTATTTCATTCACCCTAGAAGTCTTTGGGTTTTTTTTTTTTTTCATGTTCTTCTCTTCCAGAATTCTTTTCTTGTCAAACCCTATTCATTCTTGAGGCCCCTTCTCTTTTATGAAAACTTATTCTCTGTCCTACTCTTCTTCCTCATAGCTAGTATGTACTGAGCTTTTAATGCGTCAGATACGGCTCTAAGTGTTTTGCATATATTAACTCATAGAACACTCAAAACCATGTACTGAGTCATAAAAACCACTGAGTGAGGTACTACTGCTCTTACCTCCCATCTTTAGAGGAGAAACTGAGAAACAGAAAGGTGGAGTGTAACGTGCTCAAGACCACACAGTAGTAAGGGGGTAGAAGAGGGACTAAGACCCAGCCCATTGGCTCCAGAGTTGTCTTCCTGAATATTCCACTGGTTATCCAGCCCTCTTGGATCTGCCCATTTCCTGAACTCTGATGATCCCTTTTGCTTTTGACTTTTTTTTTTTTTACAAGGAGATAGATACTAACCATCATTTTACTAAAAAATAGGCTTAATACTCTATGTTCTATTGTATTTGTTGCTTTGGATTTAGTTCACATCTTTTCATATATTTGTGTATAGATCACTTTTATTCTTTTATTTTTAACAGTAGCATGGTATTCCAAAGTGTGGATTCCCAAATTATAAAAGGATCCTTCTGATGGACATTCGGACTGTGTTCACATTTTCAATATCCTGCACAACTGCATTTCGAACCATCACAGAAGAAAGAAACACATGCTACGTTGAAGTCAAATAGAGAGTGTGGGGTCAGGTAGCTCTTCTCTCCTAAGAAATAAATTATTCAGCAGAGAGAAAACGAGACCAGTATTGCTGCTGGAGGCATTAACTCGTGTACATAAAAACTCTTTTCTCCACCCAACACTTTAACTGTGACATAGACACATTTTGCCACTAAATCTTCCCAGCAGGAACCCGGGAGGGCCGATGGCAAGCCTGCTTGGGGTAAGGTATTACGTGAAAGCATTCCTGACATTTTCCTATGGCTGAAACAAGCAGCCAGCCACATTTTCTCAGAAAAGTGCTCAGGCCAAAAATATTCTTTGCTCAGCTATATTGACTTGAACTGTGTTTTTCAATCAGGCTGTTATTCGAATACTGGAGCAGATCCAAATTTGCTTTCC